CGCATCGCTACTAGGAGCATGGACGCTACTAGTGGCTCCTGGCCTTACTGCTAATAGCAAGAAGCTACTAGGAACAAGGTGCATCGCCACTAATAGCATGTTAGTAGTAGGACTCTTCTTACAAAGATATGAAGTCAAACCTACTAGCGATGGCCTCTAACCTACTCGGAGAACGAGTTTGCATCGGACATGCAACAATGATGTGCAACGATGTGTTTTACTGAACGAGATGCCCCTCGGATACGGGCTCACAAAAATAGACTCAAAAATTTGAAAATGTGAAGGAGTTGTTGTTTGAGCCGCTCATGCTTTATTGTCTTTGGGATCGTTAGTAGGTTGGAGGCCATTACTACTAGGAGCAAGGGCGCTACTAGGTACAGGATTGGAGCGTTTCAAAAAGCCCTCCGCGCTGACAAAGCCCAAAGCGCGTGGAAATGGATGCCACTACGGATTCACAGTAACAAGAGCACGTCTAATGGACAAAAGGAAGACCTCAAAAGTCCTTCTCCTTCCTTCCCCTCCTGTTACTAGTAGTAATGCACTTGTTCCCCTCGGAGTGGGTTATGCTTTTGGAGCGCCGTTTGCGATTTCGGGCTTCGCTTTGTGCTCAGGGGCATCGATGCACTTTGTGCCGCCTTGCGGGAAGGTCACGAGGCGAGGACGTGCGATGTGCTCCAAGGTTTTTCTTTTAGCCCGCTCCCCCCTCCCTACTTAATTGAGTAGGCGCCTACTTAATTAAGAAAGGGAGGTAGCTGGTACCTTACTTAAGCTACTAGTATGGACGCAGGATATCTCACGCTTCTTCACATCCAGCCTAATAGTAATGGCCTCCACTAGCGATGGCCTTCAACCTATGTGGTTGAAGACTTCTTTGGACTTTGAGACGATTGCTGTGTTCCTTCTTTTCTTCTTCCTTTCTTCCTTTGAACATTTGTTGAAGGTTGGCAAATCTTCAAGGGAAAAACTGCAGCTGTTAAAGGGCAAGGAAGATTTCGGACACGAGAACCAAACACGAAGTCACAAGTTTGACTTTCAGGTGCATGGATTAGTCTTGCTACCCCGAGCTGGGTCTTTGGAGTTCTTTATTGAAGGAAGGACCTCTTTGGAAGAAAAGTGCATGGAAAACAGCTTTCAAATGTGCAAATATTTTCAGTTTCGCAAATAGAAGGAAGCCGTCTTTGGAACAA